AAATGTGGGGAAAAAAACACATTTCTAAGAGAAAGAGCAGCTGGGAAATGGTGCCAATGCATATGAGATGTAGGTGAAGTAACTCAGCGATCCCCAACTTTTCTGGCTCCATGGACAGGCTTCGGAAGAAAAATTATCTTCCTCAGACTGGGGAGGGGGAAGAGAATGGTTTCACACGTGCAACCTAGATCGCATGCATGCGCAGGTAAAGCTTTGCTCACTTGCCTGCTGCTTGTGTGGTCCATTTCCCAACAGCCTGTGGATCAGTAGTGGTCCACAGACCAGGGCTTGGGGCAGTGGTGGGTTCCGCCCGGTTCCGCCGAGCCGGTAGCGGTGATGATATGATGTCACCGAACCGGTTCTGCCCTCCCCGCCCCCCCGTTATTCTTACCTTTTATTTGACCCCACCCCCAATCTATTGCTGCCTTCTGAGTCCCAGCTGATCGGCTAGAAGGATAAAAACTGTTTAAACTCTTGCCGGGGGGGCGTCAAAGGGCCGCCCTACAGCTGATCAGTGTTAAAAGGCAGTGTGGTGGTAGACTGGTGCCTCCAAAAACAAATGAGTAGACCAGTGCCTCCCAAAACAAATGAGTAGACCAGTGCCTGCAAAAATAAATGGGTAGACTGGTGCCTCCAAAAACAAATGAGTAGACCGGTGCCTCCAAAAACAAATGAGTAGACTGGTACAGCTCTGCAAGCCTGGTAGTTAAAAGCCTGGTAGACCAGTACATCTACTAAATCCTAAAGAAGCCACGCCCACAAAATAAGCCACACCCACCCAGAACCGGTAGTAAAAAAATTTAGAACCCACCCCTGGCTTGGGGACCCCTGCAGTAGATGACTGGTTTTGACTGCAGATAGTTATATTATCAATCATTATACTGCTGGAGACCTGAAGGATCAATTTGGGGACAGATTGTTCTAGAGAAAATACCGTATTTTTCAGACTATAAGATGCACCTAAATTTACAGGAGGAAAACAAGAAAAAATATAGTTTTTGGCCTCCATGCGTTGGATTTGCGCCCTCCCAGACCCCCAGAAGCACTCTGCAGTGCTCTGCACAGCCCCATTTTGCCAAAAATGGGCCCATTTTTGCCCAAAACGGACCCATTTTTGGCCTCCCAAACCCTCCGCGCATCGCGTTTTCGCCCTTTGAGGCCCCCAGAAGCACTCTGCAGTGCTCCGCATGGCCCATTTTGGCCGAAAACGCACCCATTTTGGTCAAAAATGCGGCCATTTTTGGCCTCCAAAGTGCTTCTGGGGGGCCAGGGAGGGCGAAAACATGACACTTGGAGGGTTTGGGAGCCCAAATATGGGGCCGTTTTTGGCGAAATCGGTCTGTGCGGAGCACTGCAGAGTGCTTCCGAGGGCCGGGGACGGCAAAAACGCCTGTATTCAGTCTATAAGGTGCACCTAAATTTCCACCCACTTTTAGGAGGTGAAAAGGTGTGTCTTATACTCTGAAAAATACGGTATCTCTTTGCAGTTATTCAGTGCAGACAGCAAAATCTCTGCTGAGTGACTACCCTTGGTAAGGAACTTTTGGAAGCTGAAGAAGTCTATGTTATGCTGTTTCCTCATTTCTCCCACTGTCCCCGACCACCAAAGGAAGAGAATAGCTCCTCCAAATAGAAAATGTCAAGGCCGTTCTTGTCCGAGGATGTCAAAAAAAGAAAAGTCTCAGGAGCCCCATTTGGTGGCCAGTCATGTGACGACAGAGATTTGAATGCAGTACAACAGGGTAGTATCCAAAGTCAGAGGAAGTCCTTCCAGGAAGAGAAGGGGAAGGAGCAGCCAAGTTCAAGGAGACAGAAAAGTGACTCCCCCTTCCACAATAGGCAGGAAAAATAAACCAGTTGCCATAACACAAGAAATGAACTCAGACATCCTATATCTGTTAGAGACTCTCTTATCTAGAATTAATTAGTCCACTATATGAGATTAATATGATGTAATAATATGACCGTGATAATAATTTTAATAAATATAATAAAATTATAATATAATAATAATATGACCATGAGGGATGCAGTGGCTCAGTGGCTAAGACGTTGAGCTTGTCGGTCGAAAGGTCGGCAGTTTGGCGGTTCGAATCCCTAGTGCCGTGTAACAGGGTGAGCTCCCATTACTTGTCCCAGCTTCTGCCAACCTAGCAGTTTGAAAGCACTGCTCATAAAAAATGCAAGTAGAAAAATAGGGACCATCTTTGATAAGAATGTAACAGCGTTCTGTATGCCTTTGGCGTTTAGTCATGCCAGCCACATGACCACGGAGACGTCTTTGGATAGCGCTGGCTCTTCGGCTTTGAAAGATATGAGCACCGCCCCCTAGAGTCGGGAACGACTAGCACATATGTGCGAGGGGAACCTTTACCTTTACCATTATGAGACCACCATTAAGCATAACACAAGAAAGATAAAGGGGATACAGAATACTATGTTATATGGAATAGATTCTATCAATGGTTAGAAACACGAGGTGGAAGTTAGAATGCGAAAGAATCAGGTTAGGTGGAAATGGAAAGAGATACTATGTATATATTAGAATGTAGGTATTAGAAGAAAACCTTCGACTCAACCCTTCCAAGACCGAGTGGCTGTGGCTGCCGGCGTCCGGTATAGCCAGCTGACACCATCGCTGGTTATTGGGGGCGAATCACTGGCCCCCACAGAAAGGACCCGCAACTTGGGCGTCCTCCTGGACACACGGCTGTCTTTAGAAGGGCATATGACGGCCGTGGCCAGGGGGGCTTTTTATCAGGTTCGCCTGATACGCCAGTTGCGCCCCTTTCTGGATCGGGACTCCCTACGCACAGTCACTCAAGCACTCGTCACCTCTCGTCTGGACTACTGTAACGCTCTCTACATGGGGCTCCCCTTGGGGTACACCTGGAGGCTCCAACTGGTGCAGAATGCGGCCGCACGGGGGATTATGGGAGCGACGGGGCGCTCCCATGTGACTCCTCTCCTGCGCGAGCTGCATTGGCTTCCGGTGGACTTCCGGGTGCGCTTCAAGGTGTTGGTGATCACCTTTAAAGCGCTCCATGGCTTAGGGCCAGGGTACTTCTGGGACCGCCTTCTGCCACCAATAGCCTCCCACTGGCCAGTTCGCTCCCACAGAGAGGGCCTCCTCAGGATGCCGTCGGCTAGACAATGCCGGCTGGCGACTCCCAGGAGGAGAGCCTTCTCTGTGGTGGCACCTACCCTTTGGAACAATCTACCCCCAGAGATACGAGTGATCTCCGACCTCTGGACTTTTCATCGGGCCCTAAAAACTCATCTCTTTCAGTTAGCCGGTCTCTCTTGATTTTATAATTTTATGATTGGTTTTAAATTTTGATATGGATTTTAAATTGATAAATTTTAAACTATGGGCCAAATTTAATTATTTTAAATCTATTTTTAATCGTACTTTATGTATAAATGCTTTTATTTTGGCTGTTCACCACCCTGAGTCCGAAAGGAGAAGGGCGGTATAGAAATTTGAATAATAAAATAAATAAATAAATAAATAAAAAGATAAATTGATATTCCAGAATATGATGGTCAGAAACAACTGTACAGCACTAACACTGTTTAAAATAGTATATACGTTAGTTTGTTTTTACCTTTGTTTCATGGCAAGTGGAATGCCAGGACAATTGCACTGTATTCAATATATTTATATGTAAACAATAAAAATATATTTAAAAAAAGAAAGGAAAGGAACTTAGACATTTTATCTGTTATATTAGAGACTATCCTGTCCAGAATTAGTCGACTATATGAGACCACCGTTAAGCATAACACATGAAATGAACGTAGACATTTTATCTCTGCTATATTAGAGGCTATCTTGTCCAGAATTAATTAGTCCACTACACATATGAGACCATCAAGGGGAGACCTTTTTACTGTCCTGTCCCTACCTGAATTGAGGGACATAGGTCAAAAGGCAGATCCTCACAGTGGTTGCAGCCTCAAGATGTTCTCAGGAGATACTCATCTCCAAGGTTAAGCAGAGCACCCCACAATGTTCTTTCAGAAAAGGTCTTTTATAATGCCTAGATGATTTTGATGAGCTATCTTTTGTATATTATGATGCACAGTATAGAGATGTTGTCCATCATCCAATGCCATGTGATTTTGGATTTTGGGGGGGCTATTTTGTGTAGGTTTCTGGCATGCTGCGGACCAGTGCCTATGTCAAGTTTCCGAAAGATGCCCTAATTAATTCATGAGCCATGATCCAAACTTCAAAGGAAATATAGTGATTTATTAGGAGCAACATTCCGGCAATACTCGGATGCAGTCAGGACTGATCCCACATAGATTTACGTTCCCCTATGACCCTGTGTCTCCCCTCCCCCCTCCATCATCCTTTGGAAAGCACTTATAATAATCATGATCATAAGTCGTTAAGGTGCTGGACTAGAAACTGGGAGACCATGAATTCTAGTGCCCCTTGGGCATCAAAGCCAGATGGGTGACTTTGGGCCCATCATTCTCCCAGCCAAAATATTTTCACTCAGCCAACATACCTCACACAGTGGTGATTCTGGGGAAAAAAATAGAAGGGGATATTCACTTTTGAGTACTGATGTCCTTTTTATAGAAAGTGTTTGTCTTGGCACCCATGGCCAGTTGACCCACATAATCGACCATCTTTCATGATTGAGATACTTGCTCTTCTAACTCAGAAAAATGTACATTGGATCAATCAATAATGATTCAAACTTCCCTCTAAATCAAAAAAAAAAAAATCTGCATTGCATAGGATTCCTAAGGAGTTATAGGACTGGAATTCAACACAAACTCTACATGCAATCACAGCTTTATAATTAGATGGAGAACATTATTTGGGAACTAGGAAAGAAAACCTTTTATCTTCCACTTTGTAATTCTGGAACGCTGCTAGGATTCCTCTCCTGCCCCGTTGCATGTATTAAAAGTGCACTTAAGAGAGAAATAATGAAGTTAGGACACTGCCACTTTATAAAACAATTCTTCAGACTAAGCCGTGAAAGAGAGAAAACCAAAAGATACAGTTTTATTCAAGAAATTATCACAACAAAGCTCAAATTGCCCATCTCTGCCTTAGAACCAGCATGGTGTTTTTAATCCCATTACGCTGAGGAAACCAGAAGAGTTAATAGAACACAAAAAGTGTTGACAGTCCTCACAATTAACAGTCTGATCAATCAGATGGACAACAAGAGAAAACTAAGATTTTGGCTGCAAAAAGAGCGAACTCTAGAATTGCTCTACTGTCACTCTGCCGGGTGATTCTAGCAGCAATCGATTGAGAGATACAAACAGTAAAGGGTATCATAGATCTTCCAAAAAAGACTAGATTCAAGGCTCTGTAAGGACAAATGCTTAATATCACTGAAGTAATCAGTTGTAGTTATTCTTCTCCATTGTCCTTAGAATCATTGTTCCTTATCTTCCATTCTCTAGCATTTAATTGTGGTAAAAAAACAAAACAAACCAGTAACATGATTGCCAACGTCCGATGATGCATATGGCACAAGATAAGGCTGTAATAGGGGATGCGGTAGCTCAGTGGCTAAGACGCTGAGCTGATCGATTGAAAGGTCGGCAGTTCAGTGGTTCAAATCCCTAGTGCCGCATAATGGGGTGAGCTCCTGTTACTTGTCCCAGCTTCTGCCAACCTAGCAGTTCGAAAACATGTAAAAATAAAATGCAAGTAGAAAAATAGGGACCACCTTTGGTGGGAATGTAACAGTGTTCCGTGCACCTTTGGCATTTAGTCATGCTGGCCACATGACCACAGAGAAGTCTTCAGACAGTACTGGCTCTTCGGCTTTGAAACGGAGATGAGCACCGTCCCCTAGAGTCAGGAACAACTAGCACATATGTGCGACAGGAACCTTTACCTTTACCTTTAAGGGTGTAATCTGCAAAATTTTTGACACACAATCCATTTATGCAGTTCTAGTCTGTTTTTATGGGTTTCTCTTGAATGATTTTTTTTCTGTGCTCATATAGGCACCGATGTTGAATAAATACCATTTCCCATACGATTATATGATTTTTCATGCGTGTGGATTTTTTGATGGGAAGTGAGGGACCCCGACTCAGTGAAACGTTGTCCACACTCCGTGCATTGATATGGTTTCTCCCCAGTGTGGATTGTGTTATGTTCAGTACGATGTTTTTGACTGAAGCTTTTGTCACATTTCTTGCCCTGATATGTTCTTTCCCTTGTATGGATCCGTTTATGGGAGGGGAGAAGTTTTTGAGAATGAAAGCTCTTTCCACACTCCATGCATTTATAAGGTTTCTCACCAGTGTGGATTCTAGTATGTATAGTATAATTATATTTTTGTCTGAAGCTCTTTGAACAGTTCTTGCATTTATAGGGTTTTTCCCCAGTGTGGATCCTTTTATGGGAGGTGAGAGAACTTGAAGCTCTAAAACTCTTTCCACACTCCAGGCATTTATATGGTTTTTCTCCAGTGTGGATCCTTTTATGGGAAGTGAGAGAACGGGACTCAGTAAACCGTCGTCCACAATCAGCGCATTCATATGGTTTCTCCCCAGTGTGAATCCTTTGATGGCAAGTAAGGGAACGTGACTCGGTAAAGCATTTCCCACACTGCGTGCACTTATACGGTTTCTCCCCGGTGTGGATTCTGCTATGTCTAGTATAATGATGTTTTTGACTAAAGCTCTTTCCACATTCCTTACAGTGATATGGTTTTTCCCCAGTGTGGATCCTCCTATGGATAGCAAGGGACCCCGAATTAGTGAAGGGCTTTCCGCACTCCAGACATTTATATGGTTTTTCTTCAGCGTGGAACTTTTTATGGGAAGTGAGAAAACTGGAAGCTCTAAAACTCTTTCCACACTCCGTGCATTTATATGGTTTCTCCCCAGTATGGATTCTGTTATGTTCGGTGTATTGATACTTCTGGATGAAGCTCTTTCCACATTCTTTGCATTTATACGGTTTCTCCCCAGTGTGGATCCTTTTGTGGTACGTAAGGTGACTGTTCTTGTGGAAGCCCTTTCCGCACTCCGTGCATTTATATGGTTTCTCTTCATTGTGGATTCTGTTGTGTATAGCATACTGATAATTTTGACTGAAGCTCATCGCACAGTTCTTGCATTTATACGGTTTCTCCCCAGTGTGAATCCTTTTATGGGAGGTAAGAAAACTTGACGCTCTGAAGCTCTTTCCACACTCCATACATTTATAGGGCTTTTCCCCGGTGTGGATCCGTTTGTGGTAAGTCAGAGAACCTGATTCAGTGAAGCATTTTCCACACTCCTGGCATTTATATGGTTTCTCCCCTGAGTGCTTTCTTTTATGGAAACTAAGGTGTTTTGCAGAACGGAAGCTCTTGGTACATTCCGTACATTTATATGGTTTCTCCCCGGTGTGGATTCTTATATGGGAAGCAAGTAACACTGAAGCTCTGAAGCTCTTCCCGCACTCCTGGCATTCATATGGTTTCACCCCTGTGTGGATTGTTTTGTGAGATGCAAGGGAACCTGATTCACTGAAGCATTTCCCACACTCTGTGCATTTGTACGGCTTTTCCCCGGTGTGGATTCTTTTATGGCAAGTGAGGGAACTTGATTCGGTGAAGCATTTTCCACATTCCAAGCACACGTAGGGTTTTTCCCCGGTGTGGATTCGGTTATGTACCGTATAACTATGTTTTTGATTGAAACTCTTTCCGCATTCTTTACATTCATACGGTTTCTCCCCGGTGTGGATTCTTTTATGGCAAGTGAGGGAACGAGATTCGGTGAAACATTTTCCACACTCAGTGCACTTATACGGTTTCTCTCCCGTGTGGATCCTAGTATGGCAAATAAGATGACTTGGATTTTTGAAGCACTTTCCACACACTGTGCATTTGTACGGTCTCTCTCCTGTGTGGACCCTATAATGAGAAGTAAAATGACTTAAATCTTTGAAGCATTTTCCACACACCAGACATTTGTATGGTTTTTCTCCTTGTATTCTCTGACATAAAGTAAGGAGAAAGGTCCTTCTGGAACGTTTTCCGCTTTCATTCTGTTTTGCTACAATGTGGCTTCTGCAACAATCGCATAATCCTGATACATCTGTGGCTACTTTTCCACACCTTGGACATGCGTCTCTTTTTGGGTGAACATCTTTGGCTAAGAAGACGTTGATATCTGCAGATGGTAAAGTAGAGCATTTCCCCGGTTCCCCCTTTAACTCTTTTTCCACAGGACTTGGTTTTCCAGAAAACTTTTCCGCAACTTCCTTTTTGTCTTTTGGCAAAGGTGCTGCTGCCTCTTGGCCGGAACTCTCCACCTCCCATCCGTCACCTGCTTCAAAGAGAAGAAAAGAAAATTTGACATAAATTGAGGTGCAAATGGGCTCAGGCATCATTGTTGCAAGCCCTTATTTGAACACTATCAAATCTTCCCTCCAGCTCTTCTTCCTTTTAGCTCTTTTTTTTTTTTTTTTTTTTTTATATTGGATTTCTATACCGCCCTTCTCCCTAAGGACTCAGGGCGGTGTACAGCCAGATTAAAAAACATGCAGAACAAATATTAAAAACAATTAAAAGATATATAAATTTGGCCCAATTAAAACTCATTTACCAATTAAAAACGTTTAAAACATTTAAAAACAGTTAAAAATTTCATCTTAAGCCAGCCCGGCTTGTTTAAATAAATGGGTTTTAAGGGCGCGACGGAAGGCACTGAGGTCTTGGATTCTCCTTATCTCTGGGGGGAGCTGATTCCAGAGGGTAGGTGCCCCCCACAGAGAAGGCCCTCCCCCTGGGGGTCACCAGCCTGCATTGTTTGGCTGATGGCACCCCGAGGAGGCCCTCTCTGTGGGAGCGCACGGGTCGCTGGGAGGTCGTCGGTAGCAGCAGGCGGTCTCGCAGATAGCTAGGCCCTATGCCATGGAGCGCTTTAAAGGTGATAACCAACACCTTGAAGCGCACCCGGAAGACAACTGGGAGCCAGTGCAGCTCGCGCAGGAGCGGTGTTACATGGGAGCGCCATGCTGCTCCCGTCACTACCCGCGCTGCTGCGTTCTGGACCAGCTGGAGCCTCCGGGTGCTCCTCAAGGGGAGCCCCATGTAGAGCGCGTTGCAGTAGTCAAGGCGAGAGGTGACGAGGGCATGAGTGACTGTGCACAGGGAATCCCGATCAAGAAAGGGCCGCAACTGGCGAATCAGGCGAACCTGACAAAAGGTCCCCCTGGTTACAGCCGTCAGATGTTCCTCCAAGGACAGCTGCATATCCAGGAGGACTCCCAGATTGCGAGCCCTCTCTGTGGGGGCCAATGACTCGCCCCCAATAGTCAGTGATGGAGTCAACTGACTATATCGGGATGCTGGGAGCCACAGCCACTCAGTCTTGGAAGGGTTGAGCTTGAGCCTGTTCCTCCCCATCCAGACCCGTACAGCCTCCAGGCACTGGGACATCACTTCAAGGGCATCGTTGGGGTGGCCTGGGGTGGAGATGTACAGCTGGGTGTCATCAGCGTACTGGTGGTATCTCACCCCAAAGCCACGGATGATCTCACCCAGCGGCTTCACATAAATGTTGAACAGAAGGGGTGAGAGGACCGATCCCTGCGGCACTCCACAAATGAGAGGCCTTGAGGTCGACCTCTGCCCCCCCTGCCAACACAAACTGTGACCGGTCGGAGAGAAAGGAGGAGAACCACCGCAACACGGTGCCTCCCACCCCCCAACTCTTCCAGCCGGTGCAGCATGATACCATGGTCGATGGTATCAAAAGCCGCTGAGAGGTCTAACAGGACCAGAACAGAGGAACAACCCCTGTCCCGAGCCCTCCAGAGATCATCAACCAACGCGACCAATGCCGTTTCTGTGCTGTGCCCAGACCTGAAACCCGACTGGAACGGATCTAGATAAGATGTTTCCTCCAGGAATTGCGGAAACTGTCGTGCGACCACACTCTCAACAACCTTCGCCATAAAGCGAAGGTTGGAGACAGGACGATAGTTGGCCAATATTGCCGGATCCAGGGACGGCTTCTTGAGGAGAGGCCTCACCACCGCCTCTTTCAAGGCGGTGGGGAAGTAACCCTCACTCAACGAAGCGTTGATAACACCCTGGAGCCAGCCTCGTGTAACCTCCCGGGAAGGAGGTTTTGTGATTCCTCTACCTCAGGGGTGTCAAACTCGCAGCCCACAGGCTGGATGCGTGATACGCTGACCATGTCCACCCCCGTTTTAGCGATGGGGGAAAGTTGCAATACGTCACATGATGACGCATCATTGCGAGTTTGACACCTGTGCGCTACCTGCTTCTGTCATAACATGGGGCTTTGCTTGGTATCGGGTTGATGTAAGATCTGCCACAGGCTTCGTTCTTGTCTTCCATGATGCAGCAGGCAGAACTGAATCCTGCCTAACCTATCCCTGAGCAATATCAGCCCTACTACTCCTTCAGATTCAGTTCCAAAGAAGAAGGAAACAAGGGGTAGTTTTGAAAGCTGTCTCTATTCAATAATGGGTTTGATGGTGGAGAACCTACCAGTTTAATTTCAAACTGAGAAAAGGGAAGTGCTAAAGGACTTGGATCTTGAGAACTGAGCTTCAGATAAATGATTTAGATAATAGAAAGTTAAATGAGGGAGAGGAGAAAAAAGAAATAGGAACCCAGATGACACCAGAGTAAATGGAAAAGGGGGATGGGAGGGGGAAAAAAAAAGAAGACTATAAGGATAAATGTACAATTATGAAGATAACAGCAATAGATTGAGTAAAATTGAAAAGAAAACGAAAAGAAAGTATATGTTATTAGAATACTGGAATTGCTCGGATACCAAACAAGGAAAATATTCCACAACAAAGGAGAAAGAAAGAAAGGAGAGAGGAGTAGAGGGTAAGAAGAGGAGAGGGAGAGAGAGGAATGGAAGAAAGGGGAAAGGAGAGGAGAAAAGGCAGGGGACAGGAATAGGAGAGAAGGTGGGAAAGGGGGAAAAAGGGAAGGAGTGGAGGAAAGGAAGGGGAAGTAGGAAGAGGAAGGATGGAGAAAGTAGGAGAGGAGAGAAGGTTTGTTGTGAAACGAGGGAAAAGAAAGGATAGAAGAGCAACCGCGAATGTAATTAAAATGCCTTATTTTTATACTTTCTTTAAGAAAAATATGTATATGTGTGACCAATTATATATAAGAGAATGTACATTTATATTATGTATATAAGAAATAAAAATGAAAAACTTTTCTCAAAAAAGAGAGAGAGAGAGAGAGAGAGAACTGAGCTTCAGCATCCACTCCATGAGGGAGCTCTGTCTTGAAAATAACTGGTTCTCAATCTTGGTATGTTCGTTCATCCTTACTTGTCCCTGCATTTGGTGGCAGAACTTACAAAAGGAAGTTCTTGGAGAAAATGGGAGGGAGAGTCACATGGGTAGAAGGCCCATCTCTTGAACTCTTGGCCCACCCAAGTTCTCAATATGTTGGACAGCCCAGTTCTCTATATGTTACACTCTTGGGATACTCTGTGGGAGTCCAGGTAGTCCCCGGCTTACAACAGTTCATTTAGTGACCGTTCAAAGTTACAGCATTGAAAAAAGTGACTTATGACCATTTTTCACACTTACGACCATTGTAGTGTCCCTGAGCTCATGTGATCAAAATTTGGATACTTGGCAACTGGTTCATATTTATGATGGTTGCGGGGTCCCAGGGTCATGTGATCCCCTTTTGCGACCTTCTCATAAGCTAAATCAACAGGGAAGCCAGATTCACTTAACAACTGTGTCACTGTTCTGCCCCAGCTACGGACCCCAAAGAATGCAGCACACACAAAGTCCGTACAAACCTTAGTTTACTAATTAAGGACGACTAATGAGCTTTCTTAGCAGTTGTTCGAACACAAGTACAGTTTAAATCAGTCTTTTCTGAACAAGGGCTGTTAATTTAACTTCATTAACAGCCGACAAGAATCCAAGGAATAATAACTCAATTCTGAGGCACAGTATTTCAGATAACCGTAATCTTACTGTGGTTGGCAGAATGCCCAGAAGCAATTTGCAGCAAAAATGACAAGAGATAAACAAGAGCCGAATCAAACGTTTCTGGAATCAAGATGCGAAGGAATGTGAACGAAGTTGTTTCCTGCAAATTGCATCAGTCGTCGTCCTTCCTTAAATAGGCTAGGGGAGTGGCCAATTAGCCCCAAGCCTTACTCTCGAGGAGACCTCCTCCTGAGGAACCACTCCTGCCTTTTAACAGCTCTGCACGCTCGTGCATCGAGAAGAGGTTCCTCCTCTTCTTCCTCTTCATTTATCGGAGCTTCTGGAGGTTCTGAAGGCCCTGGCTGAATCCCCGCCTCTGGCACCACATCTTCTCCAGCCTCATTGTCTGACTCGAGCGCCAGCTGCACAGGCTGCTGGCGCAGCACCACACTAGCCTCCTCGCTGTCGGAATCAGCTACTAACTGCATAGGCCGCTGACAGGCCACAACAGTCACTGACTTAACAACTGAAGTGATTCGCTTAACAATTGTGACAAGGAAAGTCGTAAAACAGGGCAAAATTCGCTTAACAAATGTCTCGCTGAACAACAGAAATTTTGGCCTCAATTGTAGTCATAAGTTGAGGACTACCAGTATTAGGGCTTCCATGTGCCCTAATTTCTGTCATATTCTGTCATTATAGACAGAAAAATATGAAGAGGAAGGCTATCTTCAAAGTGGGATAAACAGGATTGGAAACTAGCTGGGATGGGAAGCTACATGGAGGACTCCTCTCCTATATCTGAAGACAGGATGAAGGTTTTAGCCCTTCTTTTTATATATATATTTTATTCATATATTTTTCTTTTACGTTCATAAGTGCTTTGTGAGCAGTGTATTGTCTGGGTCGGTTTGCTTACACATAATAATATTTATCCAATTTCTAATTTCTACCTCTATTATCAAGCCATTGATAAAACAAATTCCATGTTAAAAAAATATTCCGTATCTTCTTTATCCTTTATCTTTAATGTCAACCTATCCATTTCTGCACAATCTAGTATTTTTTTAATTACACTCACTTCTGTAGGTATTCCCTCATTTTTCCAGTGCTGTACAAATAGCAATAGCAATAGCACTTAGATTTATATAGCCCATCATAGTTCTTTACAGTCCCCTTAAAGCAGTTTACAGAGTCAGCATATTGCCCCTAACAATCTGGGTCCTCATTTTACTGACCTCAAAAGGATGCAAGGCTGAATCAACCTTGAGCCTGGTGAGATTCAATCTGCCAAAGTGCTGGCAGCCATGATCAGCAGAAGTAGCCTGCAGTACTGCACTCTAACCACTGCGCTACCGCGGCTCATGTACAATTCTTGCTGCTGTCAAGACATGCAGTATTAAGTATATAGTCCCTTTATCATACTTTCCTGGTAGTATGCCCAGCAAAAATATTTCTGGTTTATAATCTATGTGTTGCTTTAACATTTTTTCTAACCATGTATGCATTTTCATCCAAAAAAATTTTGCCTTTGCACATGTCCACCACATATGATAATATGTGCCCGGTGTCTGATTACATTTCCAACGTTTGGCAGACATGTTTTGAAACATCTTTGCTAGCCTCACCGGTGGTTTTAGCCCTTCTTAAAAGACCAAAGAGAAGTAGAAATGCAGCTGAGGACACTCTCTTCCACTATGGGAAAAGAAGAGGCCAGCATTTTCTGAGAAAGAAATCAGCTGTTTATGTCTGGCTAGCTAGAAAATACTTTCTACCACAATTTCAGGCTAGAGAAACACTAGTTCCTTACTTAAGGAGGCCACGTTCTTTGCGTTTTCCAGCATGACCTCTTGGTACAAAGTCTTTTGCTCACAATCCAGCAGGGTCCACTCCTCCACAGAGAAAAACACAGCGACATCCTCAAAGGAAACGGAATTCTGAAACAGAAACCACACATTCTACAAATGTCCCTCTTAAGAAACAGTTGAATACACAAGCTTTTTTTCTTAAAGAACAAACCTGATTCCCAATTAGAATAGATAAGCAACTGCCCCGAGTTCTGAGCCTCAGATTGAAAACATACCTGGGGATAATCTTTTATGAATTTGGCGAATTCTAAATCATGTAATGCCAGCAAAAGTGCTTATAGTCAAGGCTATGGTTTTCCCAGTTGCAATGTATGGCTGTGAAAGTTGGACCATAAGAAAGGCTGAGCGCCAAAGAATGGAGGCCTTTGAACTCTGGTGCTGGAATGACTCCTGCAAGTCCCTTGGACTGCAAGGCGATCCAACCAGTCAGTCCTAGAGAAGATCAACCCTGACTGCTCTTTGGAAGGCCAGATCCTAAAGAGGAAACTCAAATACTTTGGCCACCTAATGAGAAGGAAGGACTCATTGGAGAAGAGCCTAATGCTGGGAAAGATTGAGGGCAAAAGAAGGGGACGACAGAGAATGAGGTGGCTGGATGGCGTCACTGAAGCAGTCGCCATGAGCTTAAATGGACTCCGGGGAATGGTAGAGGACAGAAAGATCTGGAGGAATGTTGTCCATGGGGTCGTGATGGGTCGGACATGACTTCGCGACCAAGAACAACAACAAATTATGTAATGTACAGTAGCAATGTAACTTGTTGTACACCCTTCTATTAACGTCCAAGGACAGAGGTGAAACATGAACAAATCACCTTGTTACCGGGGAGGCTAAGAATAAAATTAAATATACTTCGCTGAACTTCTTGAGGATAAAAATGGATCTTGTTGCATTTTTAAAAATCAAAGCCTAATTGAAGGAAGGACGGCTAGAACAAGAGTAGATATATTGTAGATATTAGCTACATAGTATAAACTTAAGAAGAACCTTCTGCTTCCTCTTAAAACAGATCATCTTAAACTACAGTCAATTAAGAATTTTAATACAGTAAGCCAGCCTCACTCAACTTATCATCCTAATTTCTTTCTAGTTTTCACGTCCACATTTGTGTGCAATGTTATTTAGATAATTTTTAACCTCCATGGCTTAGGACCGGGGTATCTACGAGACCGCCTTCTGCCACCAGTAGCCTCTCACCGACCAGTATGCTCCCATAGAGAGGGGCTCCTCAGGGTGCTGTCGGCCAAACAATGTCGACTGACGGCCCCCAGGGGGAGACCCTTCTCTGTGGGGGCACCCGCCATCTGGAACGAGCTCCCCCTGGAGATTCGGAGGATCCCGGACCTGCACGCTTTCCGCCGTGCCATCAAAACATTTCTTTTCCAGCAGGCCGGCCTGGCCTAACTTCTCTTTTAAACTTTTTAAAAAATTTTAAAATTTCTAAATTTTAAATTTGTCTTATGAATTTGGGGTGTTTTAAATTTCGTTCTCTGAGCCAATTATTTAATTGTATTTTAATGGTTTTTTAACATTTGTATTATATGTATTTTATTTGGCTGTTCACCGCCCTGAGTCCTTCGGGAGTAGGGTGGTATACAAATTTAATAAATAATAAATAAATTTAATAAATAAATAAATAAATAAACCTGTGATTTTTAAGACGGCTGATGAATAATACTGCATATTGCAGAGTTCAAACCATAATTACATTACCAAGTACGTTCCATTCAGCATCCAAGGGAGAAGAGGGTGTCTTTGTATTGCAAGATGGTTCCTCTTGAATTACCTGTAGCACCATGTGACTTCCTATCAAAGTGTCAGGAAGCTAATTACGAAACAGCCCCTCTCCCATTATCGGACAGGGCTGGATCATTTTGGACAGGGCTGGACACTAGCAGTTTGAGGAGGGAAAGATCTTCCTACCTTCCTTGGGAAAACAAGTGCTCCTCCACCATGGACAACCAATGTTCCAGAAGATACCATCGATGTTGCTTTGGTCTCTGAGACTGAGGGAAAAAACCAGAAGAACTACTTGTTATAAAAACTCCTCCTCTATTATTTCACATTCAGAAATCCATTCTTTTTGTCTGCTGACTGGGTGACTGAGAGGTAGGAGTGCCTTGTGGGCAGAGAACAGCCCATCTAGAATATACAGATTAGCAGAATTGGAAGGGACTTTGAGGTCATCTAGTCCAACCCCCTGCCCAAGCAGACCCCTACACCATTTCTGACAGATGGCAGTCCAGTCTCTTCTTGAAAGCTTCCAGTGATGAAGCTCCCACAACTTCTGAAGGCAGCTTCTGTTCCATTGTTTGATTGTTTCTCTTTAATTCTAGGTTGAATCTCTCCGTGATCAGTTTCCATATAGGCAATAGGCTGTATTAGCTTAGAGAGGGGCTGGAAAGCACTGTGAAGCGGTATATAAATCTAAGTGCAATTGCTATTCTAAAGAGGCTTTACCTGATCGTCTCTTCTGAGATGGATCTTCCTGAGGGATTCCCCCAAAGAGCATCTCTAGGGAGGGATCATCCCCCTTTCCTCCGAGCCGTTCAGCAGCCATTTAACTCAAAGGCTTCCAGACCCAAAACAGTTTCTGCGAATTCTGAGGTATATAAATGGAAAAAGCGATTATTGTTCTTATTAATACTTCTGCTTCCATACTTCAGCCTGCCTTCCATTGAGGATCTGTACCCTGCATGTAAAGAGGGTTGTGAAAATATCTACAGACCCCTCACATCCTGGACATAAACTGTTTCAACTTCTTCCTTCACGACGACCCTATAGAGCATTGTATGCCAAAAAAACCAGACACAAGTTTTTCCCCCATGCTATCCTTCTGCTACACAACTAATTCCCACAACACTGTCTTATGCCACCTAATAGGGCCATATTACTATTCTGCTTCTTATCTTCCCTATTGCCTATTACTTTAGCATCTTATGACTATCACTTTGTGGTTTGTATCTTAAGATTTAGGTTGATTGCTTTTATTTAGTATCCTACTATGATTTGCTTTGATTTAGTATCCCATGACTATCAGATACAACAAGACTGTTGTATCTTATGATTTATGATGATTGTATTTTATGATTATGATCACAATGTATCACTTGTTGCTTGTATGTGGACTGAGAGCTTCTGCCCCAGAGACAGATTGCTTGGGTGTCCAATCACCCTTGGCCAATAAACAATCCAATCCAATCTAATCTGATCTGATCTGATCTGATCTATTATTTCTTCTCTTCTCTTCTCTTCTCTTCTTATTCTTCCATTCCTATTCCTATTGTTCTATTCCATTCCATTCCATTCCATTCTTATTCTTCCATTCCATTCCTATTCCTATTGTTCTGTTGTCCTATCCTGTCCTGTTCTACTCTACTCTATTCTTATTCTTTTATTCCTATTCTTATTCCTATTGTTGTTCTGTTCTGTTCTGTTCTGTTCTATTATTCTATTCTATTCTATTCTATTCTATTCTTCTATTCTACTATACTATACTATACTCTACGTTTATTCTTCCATTCCTATTCCTATTCCTCTGTTCTGTTCTGTTCTGTACTACTCTACTTTACTCTATTCTTATTCTTCAATTCCTGTTCCTATTGTTCTGTTCTGTTCTGTTGTTCTGTTCTGTTCTGTTCTGTTCTGTTCTATTCTATTCTATTCTTCTATTCCATTCTATTCTATTCTATTCTATTCTATTCTATTCTATTCTATTCTATTCTACGTTTATTCTTCTATTCCTATTCCTATTCAATTCCATTCCTGTTATTCTGTTGTCCTGTCCTGTCCTGTTCTACTCTATTCTTCCATTCCTATTCCTCTGTTGTTCTGTTCTGTTCTCTTCTACTCTCTTCTACTCTACTCTACTCTTATTCTTCCATTCCTATTCCTTTCCATTCCATTCTCTATCCAATGTTCCATTCTATTCCCAAACTAAGAAAGAAAGAAAAAAAAAAGGGGGGGGGGACACGTAAAACCGTGGAGAAAGGGAGGGAGTGGGAGAGACGAGGAGGGGAGGAAGAGAGAGAAACCCCACCTTGTATTCCCGAGGTTTTTTCCCCCAAAGACGCTTCTTCAGAAGTCGCCGCCGTTTGGAAGCGTCTCATCCAAGGCAAAGATTAAATCATTTCGGGATGGATCAAGGATGATGCTGGGGAGGTGGGGAGAGAGGGCAAGCCGCGGGGCTCCTCCGGAGCTAAGCTTCCCTCGGACCGACCCTTGAAGACTGGCTTTCCGACCCAGGAGACAAGCCCTGGCGATGATCGGGGCAAAGAGACCGGGCTTCTCGGGATCCTCTGGCTCCCCGGAGGGAGCTGTCCGGGCTCCAGCCAAGAGCCTCCCCGGAGGGAGACTGGGCAGCCCAGCTTTTGCCTGCAGCCCCGCCCGGAGGTTTCTTTCAGCCCTGCCCGGAGACTTCCAGGAAGAAAAGCAGGCAGGGATGGAAGGAATCCCTTCGCCCGAGCTCCGATCCCCAAGCGAGGCGCGCAGGGGAGGATCCGCGCAACGCCTTCCTCCCAGCCCAAGCCAGCTGAGCAGTTGCAGCCGCGCGCATGCGCCTTCTTCCCCGGCAAAGGTTTTTTTTTTTTTTTTTTCTCCCCGCCAGCGAGCGCGTTTTTTTTTTTTTTTTTGGGTGGGGGGACTTGCAGAGGCACCGAACGGGTTCCCTTCCTAGAGAGGCCCCCGGGCACTTCCGGTTCTTTCCCCGTCCGGGTTTCTGTTGCGATTGTTGGGGGGCTCTTTCCGGCTGAGGTGGGGAAGCAGGAGGCTGTTGCAAGAGGGCGCCCGCGGGCGCGTCCTGTTTTAAGGCTGGGATGCAAAGGGGGAGAAGGGAGCCCAAGGTGACCGTCGGGGAGGGATTAGGGTTTAGGAGCTTTTTTTTTTTTTTTTTTTTAAATTTGATTTATATGCCGCCCTTCTCCGAAGACTCAGGGCGGCTTACAATGTGCTCAGCAATAGCCTTCATCCTTTTTGTATATTTATACAAAGTCAGCTTATTGCCCCCACAAACTGGGTCCTCTATTTACCTACCTTAGAAAGGATGGAAGGCTGAGTCGACCTTGAGCCTTGGCGAGATTCGAACCCTGCAGTAATTGCAGGCAGCTGGTCTTAATAACCAGCTTAATAACAGGGTGCCTTAAACCCCTGTACTACCAAGGCTTGAGAAGGGGTTGGGTAAAGATGGACTTTGTCCAGAACATGATCTTTCCATACCACAGTTGAGAGTAGAGCAGAGCAGAGACTAGGGAATAGAATAGGGAATGGAAGAGTAGAGTAGAGTAGAATAGAATAGAATAGAATAGAATAGAATAGAATAGAATAGAATAGAATAGAATAGAATAGAATAGAATAGAATTCTTTATTGGCCAAGTGTGATTGGACGCACAAGGGATTTGTCTTGGTCCGTACGCTCTCGGAGTACATAAAAGAAAAGATACGTTGATCAAGAATCATAAGTTACAACACTTAATGATAGTCATAGGGAACAAATAAGCAATCAAATCATATTAGGAAACAGTCAATATAAGGATACCAGCAACAAGGTTACAGTCATGCAGTCGTAAGTGGGAGGAGATGGGTGATGGGAACGTTGAGAAGATTAATAGTAGTGCAGATTTAGTAAATAGTTTGACAGTGTTGAGGGAATGATTTGTTTAGCAGAGTGATGGCATTGGGGAAAAAAGTGTTCTTGTGTCTAGTTATTCTGGTGTGCAGTGCACTATAGCGTCGTTTTGAGGGAAGGAGTTGAAACAATTTATGTCCAGGATGCGAGGGGTCTGTAAATATTTTCACAGCCCTCTTTTTGACTCGTGCAGTATACAGGTCCTCAGTGGAAGGCAGGTTGGTAGCCATGGTTTTTTCTGCAGTTCTAATTATCCTCTGAAGTCTGTGTTTGTCTTGTTGGGTTGCAGAGCCAAACTAGACGGTTATAGAGGTGCAGATGACAGACTCAATAATTCCTCCGTAGACCAGAGCAGAGCAGAGCGGACCAGAGGAGCAGACCAGACCACAACACAACACAACACACCTGACAGGACAGGACAGGACAGGACAGGATAACACAGTTGGATTATACCCTTAAAGGTAAAGGTTCCCCCACACATGCGTGCTAGTCGTTCCCGGCTCTGTTTCTAAGCCGAAGAGCCAGCGCTGTCCGAAGATGTCTCCGTGCTCATGTGGCTGGCATGACTAAATGGCGGAGGTGCACGGAGCGCTGTTATCTTCCCACCAAAGTGGTCCCTATTTTTCTACTTGCATTTTTATGTGGTTTCAGACTGCTAGATTGGCAGAAGCTGGGACAAGTAACAAGAGTTCACTCCGTTACACAGCACTAGGGATTCAAACTGCTGAACTGCCGACCTTTCAATCGAAAAGCTCAGCATCTTAACCACTGAGCCACCGCATTCCTCCTAAGTATAGTATAGTATAATTATAACATAATGTATAGTATAGTATAGTATAATTATATAATGTATGGTATATTATAATTATAATATCTATATAATATATAATACGTAATGGAATGGATAATATACAATTATCATCACTTTCCTAACGGAAAGTTTCTCTTGTAGAGAAAGCCAGTTTTAAAAAGATGCCCTTGGAGAAGACATGACAGCTGCCTCCCTTTAACCCGCAAGGAAGATGCAGCCTTTCTCCCCTCTTTGCCTGAGCACCTGCGTTGCACATGGAATCCACCAGAGGGCTCCCTCTGCCAAGCCAAGGAAACACAGTGCGCTTCACGATTGGGCCGCTAGAGGGCTGGAAGGCCACAGCTGGCTTTCCAGAGAAGGAGGCGAAGGAGAGAAGGGAATGACATCACAAAGCTTCGCCTCTCTAGGACGCTGCACTCTCTCTCCATCACCCTTTGAGCTTTGCTGCAGGTAAAAAAATTGCTGCGGGGGGGGGGGGGGGAGTCTTGCAGGTAAGACAGCCAGATGTGGCCCTAAGGGAGAAGAAGGATGGGGGTGGGTATCTCTTCCCCGTGCAAAGGGAGGCGGAGGGTCCCCACCCTGGAGGAAGGAGAGACACATATCAAGTCCTCATCCAAGTTCAGTGTTCTGAATCCTGGGAGCCGGAGAGCCCAAAGTCCATGTTCCCCAGCTGCCCCTTTCCATGCAAACAACAGACAGGGGGTGTGGGGAGAAACTGAGGACCAGCCCCCCCCCAAAGAACACCCAGAATTCTCAGGAAAAAAGTGGGGGCTGGGGAAGTCCTTCCCGCCCCGTTTTCTGGGAACAGCCGGAGTGAATGAAGGGAGAGGGAAGATTTGCCTTGTAAATATCAAGCAACAGATGCCCCAGAGATGCCCTGATTCACACCTGGTGCTGGATGAAGTTCAAAGAGAGCCAAATCCTTCACAATTGAGCCTGTCTTGAAGGCGGGTGAAGCAGGACAGCATCTCCAGACCCTGTTTGGGGGTGTGAACTTGGCTCCTACTGTTGGCTGACCCGCTTAAGCTCAGGGGATGTTGTGTGATCCTTCCTATGTGTAAGGGTATGACTTGGCTCTCCCAAAATCAACCCTGTAAAAGGGAAATGGAGCATCTTAAGCCAGGGTCGTGTCCTTGCCTTTCATTTGAAGTTTCATGGTTTCCTCATTTGTTTGGGTGTTTGATATGTTGCGTGAACCCTGCTTGGAGGTGAACGTAGGTTTTGTTTTTAAAAAGCAAGCCCTTCCTTGTGGAAAAAAAAAAGAGAGAAAGAAATAGAAAATGCTCCAGATACATCTATTCAGCATTCCAAATCCTTGATGAAAGTCAATTTCGTATTTTTCAACCACGCGTCGCAAACACTCACACAAAGTAACTATCTACTCAATGCCATTGCAATCCCATATCCGGTCAGAAAAATATTTCCTTCCATGGGGATTAATATTGCTCAGTGGTAAAATCCAGCACTTTCCAATTCTTTGGGATAAAGTTAAGATCAGGTGAAGTGTTAGTACTGATGGGCTGTCTGCCAAAACAAAGCAAGATCATAGCACACACTTGAAGGTAAGGAAGCCTGTAATTGTGGAGTCTGTCTGGCAAGAACAAAGAATGCTTATTCACAGGGAATATGCACCTGTAAAGCTTGTAACAATTCTGGGTGATTAGAAAGCTGATAAAAGTGACAAAGATTTAGACACCTTGCAGAGCTCAGCTAGAAATTAGGAATAGAGATGGCCTGGAGCAAATAGAATGTGTATTAGGTAACTCTTGGAGTATTCATTAGCCAAGGCTTACGAATAGGGACGGTTAGAGACCAATAGAGTCATTGGCGGGCCCGCGGGGGAGGGCCTTCTCCGTGGCTGCCCCAGCTCTCTGGAACCAGTTACCTCCTGAGGTCCGGACCATCCCCACCCTATTGGCCTTCCGAAAAGCGGTGAAGTCCTGGCTTTTGTGGCAGGCCTGGGGCCGTTGATCTCGCTCTTGTGATCTGGCGAGATCCGGCCATGAATGGCGTGAATGAGTTTTTAATGTTTTAAATTTGTAAATGTTTTTTATAATGATTTTTTAAAATGTATTATGAGCCGCCCTGAGTCTTCGGAGAGGGGCGGCATATAAATTGAATAAATTAAATTAAATTAAATTAAATGAATTGAATTAAATTAAATTAAATTAAATTAAATTAAATTAAATTAAATAATTAATTAAATTAAATTAAATTAAATTAAATTAAATTAAATTAAATTAAATTAAATTAAATTAAATTAAATTAAATTAAATTAAATTAAATTGTTAGATTATTACTAAAATGTTTAGTAATCGTTCCTATCACCCATCTCCTCCCACTTATGACTGTAACTTGTTGCTGTATCCTTACGAATTCTATTGACTGTTTCCTAGTATGATTCGATTGCTTATTTGTACCCTATGATTATCATTAAGTATCCTTTTGATTCTTGATGAATGTATCTTCTCTTTTTATGTACACTGAGACCATATAAACCAAAGACCAATTCCTTGTGTGTCCAATCACACTTGGCCAATAAAGAATTCTGTCTGTCTGTCTGTCTGTCTGTCTGTCTATCTATCTATCTATCTATCTAAAATGTTTATTAGATGATATTTCTTATATAGCCTGCCTTACCTGGCCTTCAATTTCCTAACAGAACAATTAATCAGTAGAATGTGCTTGCCTACAGAAGTTGTGAGTGCTCCAACACTGGATGTTTTTAAGAAGAAATTGAACGAACACTTGTCTGAAATGGTGTAGGGTCTCCTGCTTGAGCGAGGGATTGGATTAGAAGACCTCCAAAGCCCCTTCCAACTCTGTTGTTCTGTTCTGTTCTGTTCTGTTCTGAATTTATTTTCTTTTCCACCTTAGATACACAAACTGAAGCCATTTGCTCTCTTCGTGTAGAGATAAAGTTATCTATTGGCTGAAGAGGGCTGAATGCCCAACTATCAACATAGCTGCAGCAGCAGAACCAGTGCTTTGAATGAAAAATTGTTTGGAGAGCCACAAGATTCCTTGGACCCATTTGGTGTTGTGTTACAGGACAGAGAGAAAGAAAGAATGGAGACGCAACCTTCAGCAAGGGAGGGAACTGGAAGAACTGGTTGTTTTGCTGTTCAGCCTGGGAACTGCAGGGAGGTCTGGCCAAGAACTGGGCAGAAGATCCTGGAGAAGGAAACTATTGTCCCTTCAGACGTTCAGCCCTGGAACTTCAGGAGCGTCCAATACCAGCCTTCTGAGGATCCCCGAGGACTTTGCAGCCGACTCCACAACTTTTGTAATCAATGGTTCAAAGCAGAAAAGCACACCAAAGCCCAGATGCTGGACCTGGTTGTTCTGGAGCAGTTCCTGGCTCTTCTGCCCCTGAAGATGGAGAAGTGGGTGCGGGAGTGTGGAGCAGAGACCAGCTCCCAGGCGGTGGCCCTGGTGGAAGGCCTTTTCCTGGGCCAGACGGAGGAGCAGAAGGAGGAGCAGGTGAGGGACCTTCACTTTGGGAGCCCAGAAGGGGTTGCATGGAATCAAGAATGTGGTTGACTTTTTCACCCTTCCCTACCAGAAGTTTCTGGCATTCATAATATGTGGAGATGTTTCACTAATGATTGTTTTATTTTAGAAAATAGGCATCCCTTGCTTACTTTTCCAGCCTCACTGTTGAATTTTGGAGGCTTTCAAGAATCCATTTTGTGTTCTGTGATGTCCTGTATTCTGCTGTATTTTTCGGAGTATAAGACGCACCTTTTTCCCCTCTAAAAGAGGGTAGAAATGTTGGTGTGTCTTATACACCGAATACATCCATTTTTGGCCTCCTGAAGCCCCGCCCCACTTGTCGCATTTTTGCGAAAAACAGGCCTGTTTTTCGCCTGATTTTTGCAACAATGGGGGTATTTTTGCCGTCCCCCGCCCCCAGGAGCACTCTGGAAGCCTCCTAAATCAGGGGTGAAATGCTCCCGGTTCGGACCGGATCGCCCGATCCGGTAGCGATGGAGGTGGGCGGTTCGGAGAACCGGTAGCAAAAATCCCTGCCCCCACCCCCATTGCCCAGCTGAGCCGCGCAATCATCAGAGGCTTTTTTTTTATTTTAAAAAGCATTTTTTCTACAACCTCTTTGCTTTTAAAAGGAAAAAAAAAGCCTCTGATCACGCGGCTCAGCTGGGATCATCAGAGGCTTTTAAAAAAAGAAAGAAAGCCTCTGCCGATCAGGCAAGTCAGCTGGGATCGTCAGAGGCTTTAAAAGCATTTTTTTACAACCTCTTCAGCCGAAGAGGTTGTAGAAAAAATGGTTTTAAAAGTTAAAAAAAAAAAGTTGGCCACGCCCACTCAGTCATATTACCACCACCAAGCCACGCCCACAGAACCAGTAGTAACAAATTTTACATTTCACCACTGTCCCAAACCCTCTGCGCACTCCATTTTTTCCAAAAACGGGCCCGTTTTTCACCTGTTTTTGTGAAAAACGGGACACGCAGAGGGTTTGGGAGGCCTGCAGAGTGCTCCTGAGGGCCGGGGGAGGGCAAAAACTTTTTTTTTCTTACTTACCTCTTCAAAATCTTGGTGCTTCTTATACACCGGTGCGTTTTATAGTCCGAAAAATACGGTAATTCTTCTTTTCTCCTGTCTCCTATTTCAAGTCCTTCACAATGGACATCAGAAATCCTGAGGAAAGCAGGAATCCATCAAATCCCTTTCAAGAGCTGTTTCTGAGGAGCACTTCTCTGGCAGATCCAAGTCAGGATATTTTGGGAGGTAATTGATATTTTGGGAGTTAATCGAAGGTCCTCTGTTCTTCAGAAAGTTCCAAGCTCTCTCCTCTTCTTGTAAAACATGTTTTCCTGTTTTATTAATTACACTTTTTAAAATACCTTTTTTACCTCACAGGGAAGACTCAGTTGGAGTTGTCTGCTCTTTATGGTGCAGCTGAAACAGTGGTTGAACCTCCAACTCAAGTAAGAGGAGCAAATTCATTCATCAGATTCATCTTCTCCTTTTCCTTCAGGAAGTCATGGTAGTATACAGAGCACTCTCTCCTTCCATGGTCTAGAAAAAGTAGAATGGAATAGAATAGCTTTATTGCCACTTTGAATATCCACTTATCGGCATACATTAAAATGAAATTACATTGCATACAGGTCTCAAAGGATCTCCACCTCTAATATAGACATAAACATGACAAGTTTAATAAACAAACAAACAAACACATTCAAAATTATGCATGTGCCCACATATATTATATGACACTGAGAAACAACACAGTCGAGTTCGGATGTATGCATGTACATGGTGAGAGTAACAAATCTTGCAAGTTTACCAGACAGATGGCATAGGGGACAAAGCTGTTACAGAATCTGGAAGTCCTGCTAGAAATCCTACTAAAAGCTGCTCCTAGTTCAAAACCTACACTGAGAATTATGCAAAGGACCTATAAGTCAGTGGTGAAATCCAAATTTTTTTACTATCGGTTCTGTGGGCGTGACTTGGCGGGCATGGTGTGGCTTGGTGGGCATCGCTTGGTGGGTGTGGCAGGGGAAGGATGCTGCAAAATCTCCATTCCCACCCCACTCTGGGGCCAGCCAGAGGTGGTATTTGCCGGTTCTCCAAACTACTCAAACTTTCCACTACCGGTTCTCCAGAACCTGTCAGAACCTGCTGGATTTCACCCCTGCTATGAGTGTATCGGAGGCTCCCTTCCAAGTGATGCCTTGTTGGGAATCTCCTGCCCTTCAAGCCTTCCTGCAGGGCGTCTTTATAAGAAAAATAATAATAATAGACTACAGAATACAGACTATATATGGAGTGAGGGAGGGATGGAGAGACGAACAGGATGGATGGATGGATTGATGGGCAGACATAGAGGATAGATAGATAGATAGATAGATAGATAGATAGATAGATAGATAGATAGATAGATAGATAGATAGATAGATAGATAGATAGATAGATAGATAGATAGATGGATACATAGATATATAGATACATAGATACTTGTTTTCTCCTAGAAGCACGAAGCCGAAGACACCAGCCTGAAGATGACGAATGAGACTTCGTCAAAACGTTGCCAAGACACCTCCAATTTTACGCGGGAGAAAACCCGAATAACCAAAGACCTACATGCATAGATACAAAATTATGCATGTACCCACATATATTATATGAAACGGAGAAACATAGTCTAGTTCAGATGTATACATGTACAAGGCAAGAGAAACAAATCTTGCAAATTTACCAGACAAATGGCATAGGGAACAAAGCTGTTACAGAATCTGGAAGTCCTCCTAGAAATATTTATTTTCTTTTTTTTTAATTTAAAATATTTATTTATTGATTAGCCCTTGGGCTATATCAAAGGGCAGAGTTCCAGAAACAAATTCTTACTAAAATTTGATAAAAGCCATTTAAAATGGAATCGGATAAAATACAGTCTCAAATGAAATTGGAATAAAATACAATAATTTAAGATATAGATAAAATATGATTAAAATATTTCGGTGTTCCCCCCTACAATCTACCCCAATCAGTCCCACATATGCAGATCTCAAGCGAAGATATTTCGAAACCTCCTCCCGCAACAGAAACAGACCGTGAAGTGGATGTGTGGGGTCTCTAACAATGCTTTGAGTTCCATAAAGAGACTAGGATTACTTTCACTGAAAGGCACTGAAAGTCTTGTCACATCCATCAAGTTGATTAAACTTGCCTGAACTATTTCTTCATTCAAAGCCTATCTATTTTTTCACCTAAACCTTGGAATCCTACCAAGCACAGCCATGTAACTTAGGGTATATCTTTGCTCTGGGAATCTGTACATAATGGGATAGACCTGACAAAACCTTCTTGAGCCTATTTGGTTTCTTTGTTTCCTTGTTCAGGAGGGCCTTGTGTCCTTCAAGGAGGTGGCTGTGTATTTCTCAGAGGAGGAGTGGTCTGAGCTGGATCCAGACCAAAAAGCACTCCATTGGGAAGTCATGATGGAAAATTATAGGAATGTAGCCTCGCTGGGTAAGTAGGTTTGCTGCTCCCCAGTCAGAGAGTTTTCTGGTTGAGCCACCCTGAGTCTTCGGAGAGGGGCGGCATACAAATTGAATTAATAAATAATAAATAAATAATAAATGCCATCAGCTGTTTCATATTAAAACATTTCTAACCAGGTGTCCCAAAGGTGCTTTTTTCGAAAGGCAACTGGACTTTCTTCGTTTTTCCCTGAAGACATTTTGCTTCTCAGCTAAGAAGCTTCTTCAGTTCTGACCAAATGGTGGAACATGGAAAGATTTATATTCTATCCCATTCCTTCCAAATCCTTCCATTCTCTAGCATTCAGTCAGAACTGAAGAAGCTTCTATCCCTGTCTTTCTGTTTGTCTGTCTGTCTGTCTGTCTGTCTCTCTCTCTCTCTCTCTCTATCTATCTATCTATCTATCTATCTATCTAGCTATCTATCATCTAGCTATCTAGCTATCTATCATCTTCCATCCCATTCCTTCCAAATCCTTCCGTTCTCTAGTATTCAGTCAGAACTGAAGAAGCTTCTGTCTCTATCTATCTATCTATCATCTAGCTATTTAGCTATCTATCAACTTACATCCCATTCCTTCCAAATCCTTCTGTTCTCTAGTATTCAGTCAGAACTGAAGAAGCTTCTGTCTCTATCTATCTATCTATCTATCTATCTATCTATCTATCTATCTATCTATCATCTAGCTATCTAGCTATCTATCATCTTCCATCCCATTCCTTCCAAATCCTTCCGTTCTCTAGTATTCAGTCAGAACTGAAGAAGCTTCTGTCTCTATCTATCTATCTAGCTATCATCTAGCTATCTATCATCTTCCATCCCATTCCTTCCAAATCTTTCCATTCTCTACCATTCAGTCAGCTTCTCAGCTTCTTCTTTATGTCCTCTGCCTATTAGGGCTTCCAAATTATGGCATTTGGAAGCCCTAATAGTGCCCACCACTAGTATTACAAGGATGTGACTTCAAGAGCAGGAGTCCACAAACAGTTCAAATCCCTAGTACAGGTCTCCTGCATGAGCAGGGGGTTGGACTAGATGACCTCCAAGGTCCCTTTCAACTCTGTTACTGCTTACTGTTTTCTGAATTGAGTCTGGAACAGACCTGATGTCCCAAAGGTGTTTTTTCAAGAGGCAACTGGACTTTCTGGTTTTTCTTGCAAGACATTTCGCTTCTCATCCAAGAAGCCTCTTCAGTTCTGACTGGATGGTGGGGAATCCAGACAGAACTGAAGAAGCTTCTTGGATGAGAAGCAAAACGTCTTCAAAGAAAACCCAGAAAGTCCAACTGCCTCTTGAAAAAACACCTTTGGGACAACCAGGACCTGGATGACTGAGAATCTCCATAGACAGTAGACCTGATGGTACCCTATCACAAAAGTCCAAATTATCTTAATAAAGGAGAATATCTGGTTGAAATGAGTGGTCCTTGGTGTTCTTTGAACTTGCTTGTTTTCTTGCAGATGCCTCATTACCAAACTAAGTAACATCTTCAATGCCAGTGAATAGTGAGAGCAAACCCCACTCCTTGCTAGCATTGATGATGTTATCTAGGTTTGGGTAGCAATAGCACTTAGACTTATATACCGCTTCACAGTGTTTTTACAGTCCTCTCTAGTGGTTTACAGAGTCAGCATATTTGTTGTGGCCCCGCCCTCTGAGCCTATCTCATCGGAGGAAGAAAGCTCCGAACATGAGGGAGAGGAGTCAGCCAGGCCTCCCTCTCCAGGCCCCTCCCCTCTGGCACTGTCTCAGGTGCCGGCCGAGGGAGAGGAGATTAGCCAGGAGCCAGGTGTCTCGGATGAGAGCGAGGAAGGAGAGCCGTCGTTCCTGGATGCACACCAACGAAGGCGTGATAAACGGTTGCAACAGCTAAGGAGGCGTGCTAGGGATTAGAACTGAGTCACTGGACCACACCCCAGAGACTATATAAGAGAGGGTGGTGGCTGGTAAAACTCCGTGACAAACAAAAACTAACTCTGGCTAGTCACTTGAACAACGTCTGAAGCTGCCGAAGGGATATTGTTTTTGCTGGACTATTTACAATCCGTATGTAAGTTTATGTTATCTGTTGCAGTAAAGCTCTTGGCAGCTTATATTGTTGCCAAGTTTGAGATAACGACCTGTGTGCGTGCCAAGTGCTTTCTTAACCCTCGGCTGGCTGTGTTTGTGTGTGTGTGTAGACGGGGACAGATTAATATTGCTCGCAACAATCTGGGTAATGAAATATCTGCAAATAAAACACCCAAGCTCAGAGAGCACCAAGGACCCCTTTAAATGATGTTATCCAAAAGCCTCAGGTTTTCATAAAGGTATATTAGGTATATTAATAGGAAATTATAATTAAAAAATCCAATATATAATGCTACATATAATAACAGTGGCCAGAATTGTTTACGCACTAAATTGGAAAAATGAAAGTATACCGTCTGATGAAAAGGGGATAAGGAAAGTGCTAGAATACGCTGAGATGGATAGGCTGACAATGGAAATAAAAGAAAGAGGAGAAACTGAATATTATCTGATTTGGAATATATGGTACAACTGGTTAGAGAATAGAAGCAAAGTTTAAGGATGTTAAAGTAAGATAAGATGTGATAAAAATGCAATATATATATATTTGTTTTCTGAGGTTTTCGCGGGTGTTTGTATGTAGGTCTTTGGTTATTCGGGTTTTCTCCCACGTAAAATTGGAAGTGTCTTGGCGACGTTTGAACGAAGTCTCATTTGTCATCTTCAGGCTGGTGTTTTCAGCTTTGTGCTTCTAGGAGCAATGTGTGATCGCAGCTGTTTCTTCCTTTTAACTGCTAGTGGGGGTGTGAACTGATTGGGTGGGAGCTTGGCTGTGCTCTGATTGGATGGGGGGTTGGCTGTGCTCTGATTGGATGGGGGCATGTTCTTTTGGGTGAGGGCTTGGTTGTGCTCGGGTTAGTCTGAGTTGCCAAGACACTTCCAATTTTACGTGGGAGAAAACCCAAATAACCAAAGACCTACACATATATGTGTGTGTGTGTAACTATAACAAACACACAGTGTATAGATTAGCATATGTTGAAGGGTTGATAATCTTTAGTCAATAGTTATAAAGGAAAAGGTATAAGAAAAGGTATAATAGGTATAATAAGAAAAATGAAAATAACCTGTATGTACATATGAGGTATACTGATACCAAAGTGCTGTAAAGATGAAAATTGTGAGGTAAAATGAAGAAAATTGCTTAATAAAAATCATTTTTTAAAAAAAGCCTCAGGTTTTCGTTCTGAAGCATGGAGGACAAGACAGACTTCAGTGTCAGATCTTACATCAACCTGATACCAGGCAGGGCCTCGTGTTTTGAACATACCCTGATAGACACAGGCAGAAGAATCACAAAAAGAGCTAAAAAGTAGAAGACCTGAGCGAGCGGGGGGCCTAGTATTGGTAATGTTCAAAGAAAAGATGCAACAATGATGGTTGATCCCGTTTGCTCCTCAGTTTGTGTTAACTTTTCTTTCTTTTTCTTTTTCTTTTTTTTTTTCTGTTCGTGAGCAGAGGATGAATGGGAGATGCTGGGTTCCATCCGCGAAGCAGCAGCACCATTGCCAAAAGATAAGATGAAAGATGATGCAGAGACATTTTTTGGAAAGCAAAGTTCTGAGGAAAAACAGTTAAAGGGGGAGCTGGGAAAATACTCTACTTTACCATACGTAGATATCAGTGACTTCTTGGGTAAAGATGATCACCCAGAAAAAGAGGCTTGGCCCGAGTGTGGGAAAATACCCATGGATGAATCAGGATTATGCGACTGCTGCAGAAACCACACTGTAGGGAAACAAAACGAACGTGGGAAACGTTCCAGAAGGACCTTCTCAGTTACTTTGGGTCAGAGAATACAAGGAGAGAAACCGTATAAATGTTTGGAATGTGGAAAAAGCTTCAGGGATTCGAGTTATCTTATTTCCCATAAAAGGATCCACACGGGAGAAAAACCTTACGAATGCAAGGAATGTGGAAAGAGCTTCCGTTTTGCGCAAAGCCTCACATCCCACAATAAGATTCACACAGGCGAGAAACCCTATGAATGCCCCAAGTGTGGAAAAACCTTCAGTCAAAAATATCAGTATACCGTACATAACCGAAACCACACCGGAGAGAAACCATATAAATGCACGGATTGTGGGAAACGCTTCACTAATTCAAGTTGTCTCACTTCCCATAAAAGGATTCACACCGGGGAAAAACCATATAAATGCCCAGAGTGCGGAAAGAGTTTCAGAGCTTCAAGTTCTCTTACTGCCCACAAAATGATCCACACTGGGGAGAAACCCTATCAATGCAAGAACTGCGCGAAGAGTTTCAGACAAAAATGTCAATATATTGTACACAACAGAATCCACACTGGGGAGAAACCGTATAAATGCTTGGAGTGTGGGAAAAGTTTCCGTTCAGCAAAACACCTCCCTTCCCATAAAAGGATCCACACCGGGGAGAAACCGTTTGCATGCAAGGAATGTGGAAAGACCTTTAGTGAAAAGCATCATTTTACTGAACATAACCGAATCCACACTGGGGAGAAACCCTATAAATGCGCGGAGTGCGGAAGATGTTTCACTGTGTCAAGTTCCCTCACTTCCCATCAAAGGATCCACACTGGGAAAAAATCATACATCTGTCTGGTGTGTGGAAAGGGATTTACTCAACATCAGTCCCTTTATGAACATAGAAAAATTCACTCAAGGGAAACGCGTAAAAAGAAACAGAGTAGAACAGTATAAACAAATCGTCGAAACTTTTGGACTCTACGGTCCTGAGCTATATTTATTACTGTGGAAAAATGAAACGTTAGCGAATGAATGGAAGAGAAGACAGACTCAAGATTCTGAAGAGAATGGAGAATAAATACAACTGAATTCTTGAGCAATGTTGAGCATTTGTTATACAGAGTCTACTCATCTAGTCTTTCTTAAAATATACACATTGGAACCCTTCGCATTTTGCATCTTTAAATTTATTGGCCACTAGAAGCACCTAACACAGTGATGTAACAATGTCTCTGGCCTTTGATTTTGCTCTTTTTGTAGCTCTATTTACATCTATTTAGCTCTATTTACACCCTAGATGATAGGCTTAAGATCCAGGTGGATCTTGACAAATTTGAACACTGGGCCCTATCTAACAAAATGAAAGTCAATGTAGAGAAAAGTAAAGTCTTACACTTAGGCAAGAAAAACCCAAAGTACACATATAGATTGGGTGAAACCAGGCTTAATAGCAGTAATTGTGAGAGGGATCTTGGAGTTTTAGTGAACAATCAGTTAAATATGAGACAACAGTGTGCAGCAGCAGCCAAAAAAGCCAATGCAATCCTAAACTGCATCAACAGAGGGATACAATCAAGATCAAGCAAGGTACTAATACCACTCTATAAAGCCTTAGTAAAACCACACCTAGAGTACTGCATCCAATTTTGGTCACCACGTTATAAAAAAGATGTTGAGACTCTAGGAAAAGTGCAGAGAAGGGCAACCAAGATGATTAGGGGACTGGAGGCTAAAAGATACAATGAACGGTGGCAGGAACTGGGCATGGCTAGTCTAGTGAAGAGAAGGACCAGGGGAGACATGATAGCAGTGTTCCAGTATTTGAGGGACTGCCACAGAGAGGAGTGGGGGTCAAGCTATTTTCCAAGGCACCCAAAGGCCGGGCAAGGAATAATGGATAGAAACTGATCAAGGAGAGATTCAACCTAGAAGTAAGGAGAAATTTCCTAACAGAACAATCAACCAATGGAACAGAAGTTGCCTTCAGAAGTTGTGGAAGCTTCATCACTGGAGTCTTTCAAGAAGAGATTGGACTGCCATTTGTCAGAAATGGTGTAGGGTCTCCTGCTTGGGCAGGGGTTTGGACTAGATGACCTACAAGATCCCTTCCAACTCTGTTAATCTGTTAAATCTCTGTCATTGAACATTAATTACCAGGGCTGTCAAAACTTTCAGTTCTCTTTTATTTAGTCTTCTGGCTTCCTCATCTCTTGGAATGACAAAAACACCATGCTGGTTTTAAGCCACGGATGGGCAATCTCAGCTTTGCTGTCGTCATGTAATTTCCTGAATAAAGATCTCTTTTGAGTTTCATTCTTTCAAGGACTATTCTCCAAGTTTCATTCTCGCCGCTTCATTCTTTCTTTTTAAATGTGCCTTTTGCTCATGCAGTACAGGACAGGAATCCGGACAGTATTCCAGAGTTACAAAGTATGAGATAAAAGGTATCCTTCCATAAAAGGTAAAGGTTCCCCTGCACATACGTGCTAGTCGTTTCCGGCTCTAGGGGGCGGTGCTCATCTCCGTTTCTAAGCCGAAGAGCCAGCACTGTCCAAAGACGTCTCCGTAGTCATGTGGCCGGCATGATTAAATGCCGAAGGCGCACGGAGCACTGTTACGTTCCCACCAAAGTGGTTCCTATTTTTCTACGTGCTTTTGAACTGCTAGGTTGGCAGAAGCTGGGACAAGTAACGGGAGCTCACTCAGTTAAGCGGCGCTAGGGATTTGAACCACTGAACTGCCGACCTTCTGATCGACAAGCTCAGTGTCTTAGCCACTGAGTCACCGCCTCCCTCCCTTCCCTCGATTCCTTCCCTAGATCCCCAATAATATTCCCCACCTAATGACGAAGCAGTTTGGGTTGATGTCCAGCCCCATAGGCCTTTAGGAATGCCATCCAAAGCAGAGATTCTTTGATTTAGAAGGGTTTGAAGCATCAGTGATTGATCCACGGTGGTGCAGTGGTTAGAGTGCAGTACTGCAGGCTACTTCTGCTGACTGCCGGCTGCCTGCAAATTGCCAGTTCAGATCTCACCAGGCTCAAGGTTGACTCAACCTTCCATCCTTCCGAGGTTGGTAAATTGAAGACCCAGATTGTTGGGGGCAAATATGCTGACTCTGTAAAACCGCTTAGAGATGCCTGTAAAGCATTGAAGTGGTATATATGTCTAAGTGCTATTGCTATCCAGTGTAAGTTTTTATCAGAAAAGAAAGTAACTTATGATGAAAGTTGCTGATTACTTGGTTCAGCTGACCATAGTTGTCAAGGTCTCTTTAAAAAGACATCAGAACTCAAGGTGAATACCTCCTATTTTTCTCACAACCACCATCCTGTGAGTGAGTTGGCCAAGAGAAAATAACAGGCCGAAAGTCACCTAACTCGGGTGGGCAAATGTGGCTCTTTTACAACCTGTGGACTTCAACTCCCAGAATTCCTGAGACAGTTTGGCTATCTCAAGAATTCTGGGAATTGAAGTCCACAGGTTGTAAAAGAACCACATTTGCCCACCCCTGAGCTAGCTGGTTTCCATGCCTAAGGGGAACTAGAACTCATAGTCGCCAAGTTTCTAACCCAGCACCCAAATCGCTTACGATAACGTATTTTTTAGTTATTTATAAATTTTATAGTTACCTCCAGGTAACTCTGGGTGGTTATTATAACATGATGGTTATAATAAGCTCTCGCCAAGGGACAATACAAACTAGATAAAGAAATTAGTCACAAAATTTCATCCAGTTGATTCAGACAGACAAACATTTGTCAACCTTTCATCCTAATGTCAGCTCTCAATTTGGGGCAGCAGGGGGAGGAAAGTGACTTACTGTTGGTACTCTGCCTTTCTGCTGAAATCTAACTTTCTAATACCTTTTGGGAGGAAATCATGTCCTGCCGCACAGTCTTGGCACTCAGGGCAAAAAGTTAAAAATCACAATTAGAATAGGCTGAACATAAGAACCAAGATCCAGCAGGAAACGCCAAACTAATCAGATGACCAAGTAGTCCCAAGCTGAGCTTAGGTTTTCTTTGTTAAATAAGAAACAATCCACCAAAAGATAAATATTTTAATTAGGCATGCGGCTAAGAAGAGTTTGAGGGGTTTTTAAAGTGGGTTTTTTAGTGAGTTTTTAACAAAAATTTTAAGGGGTTCGGGGGGGATTAGGGTGGGTTCTGGGGGAAATCCACCGGGTTCAAGACCAGCCTTAGCGAAGGGCTGCGACATTAGGGACGTAGAACTGGAGGTCGGGGAGGGGGTTGGAGTTCGATTTGAAGAGGGCTGTTCCATCAGCACAGTGAGTGGGAGGGGCAGATATGGCGGAAGCTGGGGACCATATCATGTGCGGGGAATGCGCACTCGCTATCTTAGAGCGATTGCGCATTCCGGTCCCCAATGCTTTTCTTGTTCCCCAGGTTGTTCAGATTCTCAGGGCCAGAGCCTCCGGCTGATGTTGTGCAACGCCAGGTCCGTTGTTAATAAAGCCCCCCTCATTCACGATCTTATTCAGGAGGGGGAGGCGGACCTGGCGGGCATTACGGAGACCTGGTTGGGCCAGGAGGGGGGAGTCCCCCTCGTGGATATATGCCCACCAGGCTTCCGTGCATTTCATCAGCCGAGGGCTCAGGGCAGGGGCGGGGGGGTGGCGGTTATTATAAAGGAAGGTCTGGATCCAAGGGAGACCACTGTTCCACAGATAGCCGGATGTGAGTCCCTCTTTGTGAAGTGGGGTCGTGGAGTACAGATGGGCCTGTTGGTCACGTACCTGGCTCCCTACCACATGGCAACGGCCCTGCCCGAGCTCCTTAACGTTATAGCCGAGGTGGCGGTGGGCACCCCCAGACTTGCCATCATGGGGGATTTCCACCTGCCATCTATCGGTGAAACTTCTGAGGTGGCTCGAGAGTTCATGGCTTCCATGACGGCCATGGACCTTACTCAGTTAATTCATGACCCCACTCACACAGGAGGACACACTCTGGACTTAGTTTTTGTCTCTGGTCAGTGGTTGAGTGGCCTTGATATAGGGGATATAGCCATCGAACCCTTGTCATGGTCTGACCACTCGCTCCTTCGACTGGACTTTCTAACCGCTGCACCCTGCCGCAGGGAGGCGGGACCGACCAGATGGTTCCGCCCCAGGCGCCTGATGGACCCTGATAGGTTCCAGATGGAGCTTGGGCCATTTCCTGAGATTCTGGCTCATGACTCGGCTGAAGACCTGGTGGCCGCCTGGGATAGTGCGGCTGCTGGGGCCTTGGACCGAGTCGTGCCTTTGCGGCCTCTGACCCGGCACCGAACTCACCTAGCTCCTTGGTTTTCCGAGGAGCTTAGGGAGATGAAGCGCCGGAAAAGACGCCTGGAGAGTAGTTGGAGGACCAGCCGCTCCGAACCTGACCGAACACTGGTGAGGTCTCATATTAAGACCTACCTAGTGGCGATAAAAGCGGCGAAAACTAGCTATTTTGCCGCTCTTATCGCGTCATCAGATAATCGCCCGGCCGCCCTGTTTAGGGTGACCTGCTCCCTCCTCCATCTGGAAGTGCGGGATGACCCCTTGCAGGGTCGAGCTGAGGATTTTGTGCAGTATCTGTATGACAAAATCGCTCAGATTCGGGAAGGGCTGGCCTCTGACTGGGTATGTCCAGACGGGATGACTGAGGCAGGTCTTGAGAGTGTTATCTGGGGGGAGTTCGATCCTGTGGCTCCCGAGGACATGGACAGGGTCCTGGGACGGCTGAACGCGACCACATGTTTATTGGACCCGTGTCCCTCCTGGTTGGTACTGGCTTCCCGGGAGGTGACACGAGGCTGGCTCCAGAAGATTGTTAACGCTTCTTTGAGTGAGGGGGTCCTGCCGGCCGCTTTGAAAGAAGCGGTGGTGAGGCCCCTCCTCAAGAAGCCTTCTCTGGATCCGGCTGTTTTGGCTAACTATCGTCCAGTCTCCAACCTTCG